TCATTGCTCTCATCCTGCTCACTCTGTGCAGCCTCAATGGGCTCAGGGTTTCCTACTGTATCCTAGGAATGACAAGCATTAACAAATAACACACATCTATTTGTACTGCTAAACATTTGTATGCTCAAGAACTTACAGGTGTGTCCAGTGCTCCAAACCCCTCCTGTAATTCCAGATGCAGTTTTGAGAAGCCAGAGGCACACCCTGGTTTGCTCAGTGAAAAGCAGCCCTCTGCGGATCGTAGCCCTGCACACTAAGTGCCTGGCGACTAGCGGCTTGGAGGTAAGCGCCACAGTTAACCGTCCGAGTGGGGTTGTGCAACCTCTTATCCTCCTCTGCCAGAGGGGAGCCTGCTGACTTCAGGGCATCGATAGCAGTGAATCTAGCTTAAATAACTCTGAATTCTCTGCATGCAACTCTGCTTTCCCAGGCATAGCGGACTCTCAATAGTTTTTCGTGTGCTTCGGGTCTAGTTTCAGATAGGTTTTGTGAAGGCATGTGTCAGTTTACTTGTGAGACAGTCACCTTTTAACTTTCCTACTCTGAGTTTGGTTTTGCAATTAAGCATTATTCATGTTTGATTTTTCTTGGCTGAAATAAGGTGATTCCTTGCCTGTATGGGCGCTCTGAAGACCTTTGCAGAAATGTCGCCTTTACTCCCAGGGCTGGGCTTCCTCCTTTTGGTTGGTGAGTATTACTGTGAGGGTGACGGGTGTCCCGGGAGGATTTTCCTTACCAGCAGCTGTAGTTGAGATAATCCTCAAAAGGGAAAATTGTGCTGAAAGACCTTTGAACATTACTTTGGTGGTTGCTCTAAATCCCCAGCCTTTAGTTATGCTTGTTTATTATTGTATCTGTGAACCAAAATATGTTAGTTTTTGTAATAAACAGAATGGAAAGAGAAAATTGGAATTCCTTCTCCTCCTACCATTGCAGAGCTGTCTGCTGACTGCTCCTTTTGTTGGAGTATCCAGGTGTCTCTGAGAAAGCACTTAAGAAATAATCTTAACTGAATCTGATTATCTCTATATTCCTCTACTTTTCCTCCTCCTGTTTTTTGGTAGTAAGGGATTCCAGAGCAGGATCTTTGTTTCTTTCAGAAAGTGTCAGTGCTTTATTCTTCCTTCCTCATCAGACTTGAGATCATGTTTGCAGTGAATGTTGGTGACAATAGGACATGAACTTGTAACATTATAAACAAGCTAATGAGTCACCAGCTGGGGAACAGCTACATAAAGGGACCATCATTTTCTCTGCAGTAGGCTTAGTTATCAGTAATAAAGGAAGGAAAACAAATAAACAGATAACTTTTTTTCTTTTCTTTATTTCTTTAATTAACCAGTTGTTGCTGTTCAAAACTGACCAATGTATTATGGACACCCTGATGAAAATGTGATTTTTCCAATTTTCTATTAATGTCCTGTACAAGGAGGGATGTCTCTGTCCAGCAGAAGTACACGGGTTGCTTGTAAAAGTTAATGACTCTTAATGCAATTGCTTTTAAGTCTGGCAGGTCAGTAATTTTGGTGGTGTGTTCTCATGTTGGCCACTGGCTCAGCATGCAGCCGTGGGAAATCATTCTGTTTCTTTGGGCCATGCTTGCCCCCATCCATCTACCCGTCTTCTTCTGTAAATACCCTAGGTAACTGGAGATGGAGGAAAGGCAGAGTATCGGAAATGTGCTGAGCTTGTAGAGAATTTGCATGCAACAGCTTGCATGCACTGCCCTTTTGGGGATGGATCAAAGAGAGAAGAAAGAAAACACTAGTTTCTGAGAGTCCCTAAACAGGTTTCTGAAAGGGAAGGACAGGAGATCTAAGCAGAGTGGTGCCACACTGTCGACAGGAATGGCCTTGTTGTAAAGAAGCAGTGGGGAGACCAGGCAGTGCTCAGCAACCTTGTGGCACAGAAGTGCCCTCATGGAGGAGGAGGAGGAGGGACTGTGGAGAGCAGGTGAACTGTGAACAGCACAGCATATGTGGGTGAAGGGGACAGTCTCTTCCCTTATGGAAGGCTTCACTGCAGCCTGGCGTGCCTGTGTGCTAACAAAGCACACATGGGAGTGAAAGCAATGTTTTGGAAGAGTATTGCTCCCAGAGTCATGTGCACATATCTTAGGTGGTTCATGACACGACCTGAGTCCATAACCTTTGTTGTGATGTTGTGAGATGAAGGATTTATTGTCATACAATGAGGATTTTTGTGATAGTAGGTTGGGGTCCTCTCTGATCTTGCAGAGTGAGAAGCTGCCCTTCCTCTTCCTCCTTCTCCCTGCATGGGTGTTTCTGAACACTGCTCTTCCGAGTCAATGGGACAATTTGCCTGCTTAAAGTTAAACATATGTGTAAGAGCTTTCCAAGAGTGGGGCCAAAGGGCTTGGCTGTGTGTTTCCAAGGTCCAGTCCTGAGGTGAGCAGGAAGTGATTATCACAGTGGAAACAGCCTGGCTTTGTCTGCAAGCAGGGAAGCGTGGCCTCAGGGCCAGCCTCTGGCACTGAACTCCTGGTTATGATTTTGGTAACTCTTTCGGGACTTTCTCTAGGAGTAAAGTTAATGTATGTTTGGCCTAGAGGAAAGCACTGCATTTGCCCAGCTCTGGGTATGTTTCCTTTGCTCGTTACTTAGTGACAGTTCTCCATTAATTAAATGATTAAAAATGTGTAACAGTTAGTAATCAAAAAAGCTGTTATACTAATTAGGGACTCCTCTCATCCATCCCTACAAGCTATTTTATAATCCCCTTCCTAATGCAGGTCATTGGGCTGGTGAACACATCCACAACCAGGAAAGCCACTGCCTTCCTCCTCCTCCTCCTCCTCCTCTTCTTCCCCATCACGGTTCAGTGATAAGGGTCTCCCATCCTGTTGATTTCTGTGCCCAAATATCACCGTGGGTTTGACTGGCACTGCCCTGGGCCGGCTTAGCCCAGACCCTTAGCCGTATATGGTATGGAGCAACCACAGGAGGTTGCTTCTGTGTTTTGGTTTCGGGCTCAGCTCTTCCACTTTCCCCCTGTGAGTCACTTCTAACCAAATATTTGTAGATAACACTAAGCCTGACCATGCTTCCCCCAGGAGGGTATGAGGGCTGGGAGTCACTGATGCTTTAGAGCCATGGAGCAATCGTGCTGAACCTGAGCTCTGCCACACCTTTGTGTGCTTGCTGGGCACTACTCAGCCAGCCCTGGGCTAGCTGGTCCGTGGGTCCCAGCTGGGGGTCTGGGTCCCAACCCAGATGAGACATGGGTGGGGGTGATCTCTATAGCCACTTCAGCCTCCTGTAGTGAGGCCGCTACAGTCAGCTGTAGTGCCTGATCCAAAGTCGCTGAAGTTGGTGGTGTTCTCCCTGCTGAGAGATAACTGCCAAACTTTCAGTGCTGTTACTCCTTGAGCAGATGAACAAGGCTTGCAAAGAAGCAAGGGTACTCTGGGTTGCAGGACAGCTGGACTTGCTGTGGTCTGCCATGCACCGAGGTGGGTCAGAGGATGTAGCTACAGGGGTGGGAGAAGAATGGTGCGAACTGGGCATGCCGTGTGGTGTGGTGGTGGGCAAGTGCGGCAAGGGGTGGCTGTGGCAGACAGCTCTGCAGGGCCCTGGTGCCTCACTGTGGGCTGAGATCAGGCACAGCTGCCCCAGGAGATGGGTGAAGGTGACAGTGCTGACCAACCGAGTCCCGAGTGCGCCATTAGAGAAACACACTGACAAAAACAACTGTGCAGTGGTTCAGTGTTAGCAAATTATGACAGTCAGCCTGACAGCGTGACCTCAGAAGCCTCTAACCATTGTATTCTCCCTCTCCCTGCCTCTCATTTCATGTAGTACTTGTTGCATTCACTTGTTCTGTCCTGTCATAAACTAGTGGGAAGTCTCTACCTTCCATTTTTTTCTGTACACGGGATGATGAGCTTGGCAGGCTCCTAATCTGAAGTAAATACTACTAATGCCAGGGAGATTTGAGTCTGGGTATGTTGTTACTGGTTTCCTAAGCCTGCATTTTGCCACCTTTCCAGCTTCATGGCATTGGCAGAGGAGATGCGAGTTGCCATCAGGAACGATGTAGAAGTTGGGAAACAAGGAACAGACAAGTGGAGGGCTTGCACAAGACCTGCCAAGAGCCAGCAGTGACAGGTTGACTTCTTTCGGTAAATCCCTGTCAAGCTCTTGGGCAGGACTGGTGTGAGACCTGTCATACACTGGTGTTACCTGTGTTGTGTGCAGTTCTGCAGCATAGGGTGACTTTAATCCGGTTGAGCACTTAGCAGGAAAAATGTATGAAATACAGTACAGGCTTGGCTACAATTGACGTGTTGATGGCGACACTATAAGAAACAAGTAGAAGCTGCAAAGCTAAAAGCATCATGGAAGTATAAGCATGGTGAGCCTGGCCTCCCAGGCTGATCGGTGACCATGGGCTGGCCGTGGTGCACAAGACACTGGGCAAGGAAGTCCTGGAGAGAAGGACCATCCCCAGAGTGTTTCTGCCCCTTTCCCTGCCTTTTCCTCTTTGGGGACAGAGATGCATGCAATCCCTCATGTCATCTAAGACACCACATTTCTGTCCTCTGTCAGACTGACCCGGAGTGGATAGAGGAGTATGTCATGTCTGCTCACCCAGTCAGCTGTCACAAAGTCAAAGAGAAAACAGCAGAAAGGGCTGACAGAAATGATTCTGTGAAATACTGTCAAGAATGAGGAATAAAATAATGTAGTGAGATGAGTGATGTTCAGGGTCTGTTAAGCCAGACGGGGGCTGGACTGTGGGAATGAGCTTTGTCCTGGATTTGCTGCTAAAATCATGGTACATTGTTTTCCAGGTTGGCAGGTTGCTTCAACTTCTGCTGGGACATACCTGGTAAGGCAAACTTGCATGTTTAAAATATGTGTCATCCATGTCTTTACTTGCAAAGCGTGTGTGGGTTGGTGGTCAGTGTGGGCCCCTTCCTGATAGCGGTGCGTTGATGGGAATCAATTGCTACAAGCCAGATCCAGTGTGTCTTGAGCATGGAGGTGGATGGTAAGTGTCCTTCCCCTTCTTGCCTCCCAAGCAGTGAGTGGAGTGGGGATAGCTTCTCCAGGTCTTTGCAGGGCTTCAGTGCAAGCACATCACCAGGCAGTTCAATGAAGGTGACACCCACCAACTACACTCAGATCATCAGAACAGTCCATCCCACTGGCCCTCATGCTTGAGTGATGGGAGGACTCGCATAACCCTGAACTTCCCAGCTGTTTGAAGTACAGAGCTGGTACTGATATGGATGTTGCAGATGGCAACTACCTAGCATGGCAAGATGCAAGCTCTGGGTCCTAGGCACTTGTGTGTTTTCAGGCCAGATCTAAGCACAAATGGTTGCAGCTAACATGCTTGTCTGTATGCAATGATCACAAATAATGTTGTGCTACCATTGTAACTGCATGATAAGATCATCTCTCTTCTCTCTTTCTCCCGGCACAGTGCTCCAGCTCCACTGTCAATGGTGAGTTTCTTTTCAAGTAATCTCCATAAGGAAGATTCAGACATGGTTCTGTATACATATTCCTATCACAGTTCCTTTATCTTTGTCTCTCTCTCTTTTGGGGGGAATCAGAATCTGCCGTGTGTGCTTCAGTGAAAAGGTATGTGAACCATCAGCAAATTATCTTGGCAGCATTTTCCTTGGGAGTGATACTGGTTTGTTGGGGATGTCACTTTGGGTAGCAGGAAGCCTCTGAAACCAGGTGTAGCATCTTTCTCCCCACGAAGTCCCAGGGTTGCCTGTGGGCAGGGAGGGCTCTAGTTGTGCTCATTGAAACAGTGAAGGGAAAATGCCTTCCTGGTGCTCTGTGTCTGTGCAGGACAAAAAAAGGCAGGGCAAGTCCCTGGTGTGTCAGCCAGCCTGATGCGGTGGGGATTTACTGCTCTGAGAGCCTTGCCATTGGTGCTGAGCTTAGCTTGGCTAGTGGTAGGGGCCTAAGACTCAAACAGGTCCGCTTCAAGCCTTCATTGAACTTGATTTCTACCTAAGGGTCAACAATTTACAAGTACCCTCTCCCTGCTCCCGAATGGTGCCAGCAAATAATTCTCATCATCTGTGTTGTTTGTTTGTTCCTCTGTATTTGTTATGTGGGCTGTGCCTCGTTGTTACGGCTGCCTGGCATTGCTCCTGCTCCTTAATGCGTGGGCTGGACCCCTTTACGCAAGAGTAGCTAATAGTTGTCCCTACTGCAGGTGAACAAAACTTCAGTGAATAAAAGCCTGTCGTCAGGGCCATTCATACCCCTTTCACTGACTGCCTAGGCTCGGGCAGCTGCATTCCATGCCTGCGTTTGCAGACATATTGCTGACGGAGTGCCAGCTCCCAGCCAGTTCTGCCCCGAGCTGCTGGAGGTCTGGGGCAGCTGGCATGGAGGTGATGTCTTTGCTTTTTCCCCACCAGTGTCAGCCACGAGATGCTTGTTGAGATAGCCCGCGTCCAGGCTTCCCCCTGCAGCCTCACTTTTGGTCAATACGCCTGTGCACAGGTAACAGCAGTCCCCTTCTTTTCATGAGCTAGTGTTTTGTTTTCATTGACAATAGTGTAATTTCTATCTTAAAAGGAGTCCCACTGTTAGCTGTGAATGGAGTGGCCAAAGCCTTCTGCAGGCTTGGGGTCTGGGTTGTCGATGTTTCCCTCACAACGCTGAGAGAAGAGATGGGGTCAAGCACACAGGGACACAGGGACCATCCAGAGCACTGAGCTGTGGCAGCGTCACCTTCCCAGGCAACACGTGCTCTGCGTCATGAGGCTCAGGAGCGGCTACACCACCATGGAGGCCTGTCTTTTCCAAACCTCTCAAATGAGAGAGTGGGACAAAGGAGATTTCCAAAACAAATTGGCTCTTAAAAACTGGCATCATAGTGTTGAAACAAATCTCTGCATGAGAGTAACCCTGGTCCATTGGGGTAAACCACTTCTGAGCACAATAAAAAGCGGTTGCAGCGTGGAAAACATCATCTGGAATATTTCAGGTTTACTTCCCTTCCTGCTTTTGTCATTATCTCTAAGTTGCTGTGCTGCCACTAATTGCAATTGAATTGACAAAGATTTGTATTTTCCCATAAATGTTTCTAACAAAAAGATGTAATTTCTTCAGGTATTTGTTGGTGGGGTTTTTTGGGAGTTTTTTCATTGAAAAATGTTTCTGGAATGAGGAAGTTTCTTATGGAAGTTTCCACTTTGATCAAATGGCCATTGGGGTTTTTTTTGGTGGGAAATCATTTTGAATAAAGTTTTTTAAAGCCACTCTTTGCTTGGGGGGAGCACAGATTAGGTAACAGAAGGATCCAGCATTTGGAACTGGGTAAGTTTAGGCTTGCTTCAAGTCAGTGTAAGTTGGACTTTCTTCTGACTCTTCTGTCAACAGGTTTCATCACCTTGCGGTGCTGAATGCTCATGTGTAGGTGAGCTAGTGACGCAGACCTGAAGGAGATTGCATACTGCAGCATCTCTAAATACGACATGCCTTTTATTATCTCTATATGGATTTCCCTTTTTTTTTTTCAGAGTGCTTGGCTCCAGGACCTTCAGGATGATTTCCTCATATCCTTATATTCTTGCCTTACCCCTAAAACTGCCAGTGCTATGGATCCGGAATACTCTGTTCTGTTCTTTTCCAAATATGATGCCAAGAAGCTTCTAGCTGCTCTGACTATGTTCAGCCAGCAGGTGGGTATCACATATCCAACTGTTTGTTCACCTGTAACATTAATGCCAGTGGAAGGCATTAATTAACATTACCAGAGAAAGGATTATTGCTAGGGGTGATTCTGTTCATAATGTTCAGATTCACATGGATTTCTGTTAATGTTTGATTAGAAGTCCATATTCACTTGAATTCATGTGTTTCTTCGTGTCTCTTGCCTGCAGTTTTCTCGTGTGCCTCTTTCTCTTGAGTGGAACATGATCTTCATTAATGGCCTGTGGGAGAAGATGTTGCAAGTACCTGATATTGACAGCCCACCCGTTTTGTTTCAGTGGGTCCACGAGGGGCTTCAGCCGTTCCTGGTTGAGCCCAAGGTCTTTTCTTGCCTCCGTGCCAAAAACATACTGTGTGAGACATTTCGGATGATGTAAGTGCTGAACACAAACATTGTTTCAGTCCTGTGTTGCTGAGATAGGAAAGGGGCCCTTACTCCAGCCTCCCAAAGCAAGGGGCTAAACCCTGTAAGCGCTGTGAACTGATGGAGGCCCAGGCGGGGTCTCTGAGAAGCTCTCTCCAAGGCTTCGTAACACACCTCCTGACCCTGCAACTGGTCCTCTCCATCAGTCAATGCATGTGTAATGGCCCTGCTAGCACTGCGTTTCCAAAGCAGTACCGCAGGGTTGGCAGTGCAGCCCCCAGATGATTGTGGGGGCTGTTGTGAAGGGAAGTCACACTGGTAGCTTTGAAAAGGGATGTGATTGATAATATCAGTCTTCAAGTAACAGCCATTTCTGTGAGAATCCAACCCTGTCAGGTCTGACTTCATCTGTGTTTGAGATGTCTGCCTTTCTTATCCATCTTCAGAGTCGCTGCCCTGAATGGCATATATTCTGACCTTCCAGTGGAAGAACAGAGGAATCTTTACACCGGGATCAAACACTATCTCATCCAGGATGGTAAATGACTTGATTTTCTTTAAGAAGCAACAGAATGCTTTAAGCCACTGATGTTTGCTCTACATTAGCTGCAATCCATTATGGGGCTGAGGCTTCACAGACTTTTTTGTGAATTTGTGTTGCCTCTTCAATGGAAATAGGCTGGGAATATGACAGCCATAAGTGGTATCAGGAGTCATTTCCCTGGCTGAGGGCTTTATTAATCCAAGATTTTTATAAATCAGCACAGTCAATCCTATGCTGACTTACCTCCTGTGCAAATGGCATTTACTGCTTTTGTTGTGAAAGAGCGGTGCAGGGTTTGGTTCTGAGAGCTAAAGAATTCAGCTCAGAAGTTAGCTCAGAAAGGGGACCCAGGTAAGACACTCCCCTGTCTCCGGGCAGTAGCTTGCATGCAAAGATTTAACGTCCTGCAAACAGTTTTTTGGCAGATTTGAAGGGAGGAAGAGAGAGACTGGTGATGAAATATTTGGAGGGCTGTGAAAGAATGAGGCATCTGTCCTGTCCCCTGTAATCTGAATGCACACACGCGGATTTGAGGATAATGTGTGATCAGAGGCACTTAGGGAGCTCTCTGCTGACTGAGTTCTCTGATAGACTGAAGCCTGTTCTGCATTTGGAAATCTCCAATCTCTACTGATTTCCTGATACAGTGCAAGTCTGTAGTTTCATGGTGTCTGCCTGTTTTGCAGGGTCAAACCAGAAATGCTACAGTGCAGCCGTTCCAGGTCTGAATTCCACTGCTTGGTTTGAAAATTATCTTGGATCCTTTTTGGAGCATGCTACTGTTGGAGACCTGCAGCTTTTTGGTGATGAACCAACAGTAAGTGCAGGCTTGTCATGGTGATGAAGAGCCTGCAGTGTGCAAAATACTCTGTGCCTGGGAGGTCGCCTTCCTGCCCTGACCAAAATTCACAGAGATGCTGCTAGCAGGAACATTTCTCTTGTTTATTTATGGTGAACAGTCACTTCAGTTCTTAATTTTTCCCCCATCGTGATTTCTTGTGATAAGAGGCACTTGCACAGAAGTTGGTTTCACATAGGTAATTCTGCAGAGAGCAAACTGGATTCAATAGGAGGAGCAAACCCAAACTTTATTTTAAGACTGGACTGATGTCTGGGCCTGGTTTAGTGAATGACTGTATGAGGCCTGCATGTGTGAGCGGTGCTGTAGGGGCAGGGCCACGTCCTTTAGCAGCTCTCCCACCTTTGTGCCTTACAGCAGTCATAGAGTGAGAAGCTTACCATGCCCTTGGAGTGCAAAGGTAAATAAAACAAGGTCCCAGTGTATGACTTGAAAACAAAAAATAAATTTCCTTACAACTTTAAAGCCAGGTGAAAAAACCCTTATTGCTTGAAGTGAGGTTTGTTCAAACTGCCCCAAGTGACTGTCAGGATTAAAGCATCCATCTAAATTATTTTGGTTTTTTTTTTTTCCCATTTCAACACCCTCAGCTTCAAAAATTTGCCAGGGATCCAGTCAATATACAGATGATCAGCAACCTCACCTTGCTCTGGGAGACGGCTGTGTACTATACCTCGCTACTGACCTCTGGACCTGATTTTCCCTTATCAAGGTACAGGACCTGACCTGACTTCCTACTTGACTTATGGTTTAGCATGGCACCCTGACTTAGCAAAAGTTTGCTGAGTGGTGATTCTGATGGCTGCTTCCATGAAACCTTTAAAGCATTTTTCTGTTCCTCAAATAATTGCATTGCACTTCATCTTGGGGAGGGACAGACCACAAGTTCCAAATCTTGGGAAATGACTGTCATGCAGCGCCAGCCGCCAACTAATGACCAACAGCGCATCGTGCATGTTTTTGCAGTTTTGCATGATGGAGCAGTGCTCTCTGTAAACAGGAGCATCAGCATTGTCAGAGCTAAAATGAATCAGGAGAAACATGCACTGGAAAAGAGCGTCCTTTGGACAAAGAGGAAAGATCTGACAGAGCCACTGTCTATCATACTGGCAACCTCTTCTCCTTGTCTTCCACCTGCAGTCTCCCAGACAGATTTGTTTGCTACTTGAGCCCCTCGGCAGTGAGCAACCTGAGCAGAGATGACGCTTTGAGCTTGGCCCAGAGGATCAGTAAGAACTGCCCATTGAACCTGACACACAGAGGAATAACTAGAGAGAGGGCTCCCTCCTCCCTGACAACAGAGGAACTGCAGGTAATCTCCTGTCCAGCCCCACAACTCAATTCTTCATTCACCTAGGCAAAATTTGTGAGGGTTGAGGATTCAACTCTCATGCCTCCTCTTGTGTACACTCCTGTAGGTCACCTTTCTTTTCTTATTGTGGCATCTGCCTGGTGTTTCATAATCTGAAAATTCTCTGGGTGGAGGCAGTCCATCAACAGGCCTCATCACACAAGTTTGAGGCAGAAAGTCCAGTGATTTAAGACATCCAAAGGCTGTAGGATCCAGTAGGCTCATGTCATTGCTCCTCCGACTTTCTTTTCTGTCTGTGTGGGACCTTTTCAGGTTGCATCCTCTTTGGTGAGAAAGTTTGAGCATTTCCCTCCTGCAATCCTGCATGCGTTGGGCCAGGCTGCAGTTGGGCTGTCCATATCGGACATCGAAAACGGCATCAGTGATAAAGACCTTGAAGCATCTATTCCTGCCCTGGGTGAAGTTCGCGGCTGGAATGCTGAGCAGTCCAGCACTATTGTCAACAAACTGCTCAGCTCCGGCTATCAGGTACAAAGGATAGTGTCCACAAATGCACCTCACACCCAGTATAGCTAGCTGCCAGCAAATGGTGTTTGGCCCTTCATGTACTGATGCCTGCATGCATTACCTTTCAGATCCTGGATGGACAGAGCCTGGCAAAGCTAGGGAGCTTGGTGGCTGGCCTCAACAGCAGCACGCTTCGAAGTCTGTCTCCAGAAGTGATCTTGGAAGCCATTAAGTTGCCTGAGTTTGTTCAGCAAATGGTGACCCTGCCCTCTGCTCTGAAAAGGACATTTGTGGAAAAGGTGAAGTTGTTTTTCTCTTCAGGCGTCATAAATTAGCAAAGCTCCAGTGACTCATAGCTAAGAACACTGGTTACCTGGGGCCAGGCATTGACACACACGCACCTGCACACCCAGACGGCATTCCCTTGGGGGTGTTTGTCATTGCTAAACAGAGTGTGCAGCAGGACAAGCATCTCAAGTCCCTATCACCGTGTCTGTGTAGATGTCCTTGGCTGCCAGCCAGCGTGTCAGCTGCCAACCAGTGTGTCCTGCTGAGCCTTTTGTGGACGAGGGCAGAAGAGACAGTTGTTTTATGGCGTGGTCCTAGAAACTACTCCCCACTGACTTGAAAAGATGCTCCCAGAGAAAGGATATTGTCATGGTTTGGAGCGAGAACATATGAGAAGTGAGGGTGGCTTAGAAAATCCTTTTTAGGGTAGACCGATCCTTCAGCAATGCGCTATTTCACTGCCCCCATGTGATTGTATAGGATTTGGACACCTCTCTGCCTTTTTTCTTGCCATGACTTTAGCCTTCAAATTGCCTGTGTAGCATTCAATTTTGTTGTTATTCATCCTCCCTCTAGTAGGAAAGACTCTGATCTGTGTTTGGCACCAGAGGCCCTGCCTATAGCATGTCCTGGGGCAATAAGGCTGCCAGGGCTCTGTGTGAAGCGTTAGGTGGATCTCATTCACCACAGGATTGTTCTGCAGTGTGCCTTTGGCAAGTTGAGACATTGTTTGGGTTGGCAGAGAGGAAAGATGTGTCCCTCCTTTCTGTCAGGTTAAACATTTTTAGGGCATAAGGCCAGGAGGTAGGAAACTGATAAGAGACTGAATTGTTCCCATTCATCAGGAACCCCAGGTATTAGCTCCAAGCAGCTCTCCTAGTCTGATGAATATGTCAAACGGGAAATATTTCATAGTGTTAGGTCTCTGAGAAATGCCCAGATGATCAGCAGGGGAATTTGCCTGGCTTCTTTCCAGTTCGTCATTTCTTCTCCGGCAATTGTTTATTTTAGCCAGAGTGTTTGATACTTTTCTTTCTTAATAGATTTCATCCAGTGTAGGCCACCCTGCTGACCTGGTTAAATATATCCCTGATGCTCTGGCCAGCTACATTCCAAAATCATTGCTTGTTTTTGGGGAAGAGAAGCCCAGTATTCAGGATCTCAACAGTAAAATGTGGACCCGAGAACAGGTAATATGCTAGCAGCTTGTGTCCTTCTTATCCCTCGGTGTCAGCCTTGGACTCTAGAGAGCTGTAAGTCCGCTCTGCATATCTGTCTGAAAATGCAGGTGAATGTTGCAGAAGAGCATGGTAAACCATTGACACTCTGGCTTTGCTTCACAGGCTGCCATGTTTTTCAGTGATGTGATAAAGACAGAGCCTGACTTCAGCAGGTAGCGTTTTTCTTCTCTCCTTCCATTTTCCATGTTTGTGTTTGCTTTGATGGCAATTTCTGTGTTACCTTTGGTATGTATGGCATGGTTCCCATGACAGATGGGAAATATCATGCAAACCCAAACACAGGCATGTAGCATCAAGATTTACCAGGGTGTCAGCTGCAAAATATGCCCATAAGCCACACTCACTTTCTAAAATGATGCTGCTGGCTCAGACTGCACCTGGAACCTTGCTTCTGACTGCCTCTGTGGAAGGCGTTTCTGATCGGAGAATGTGTCAGTCTTCCACACTGCTATTCCAGGGATTAAATTTAGTGGGGCTGATAGATACGAGAGCTGACAAAAGACATATGAGATGAAAAATTCTGAAAACCATGATGTATATCTGGAAAAACAATGGAGTCAACATCAGTGTCCTGCTGATTTCACAATAGAAGCTTTTCCATATAGAAAGCAATTAAAGTTTTAAGGACTCCTCCCTGAGCTCTCCCAGGCTGTGCAAACTATGTTCAGTGATAAGGATCTGCACAACTCCATTTCACTTTCAACATGTGGTATGTACTGAAAACACAGGGAGGAGACTGATCTTGTAAATCAGGATACAGCAGTACTACTTGGGGTGGAGGTCCCTGCATTTCTACTTCCAGTACGAGTCTCTAGATTATGTTTATTTGACCAGTGATGGCTTCTTGATCTCCCATATAGGTCAAGACTAGCAATTTTGAGGGGGTGGAGTTTGGAGAGCATTAAGGTTTGAGAACGGGGGAGGTTTATGCTTGCTGTATTTGTCATTACATATGTGGGAGATCAGCACTGAATTTTCTCCTGAAGTCCTTGCCCCTCCGATTTGCTTTCTGTAAATGTTCAGGCTTTCCCAGTCAGTCCTCCAAGGCTTCACATGTGCAGCTGCCAATGAGATGGAAGCAGAAAGATTTCAGGAGCTGGCCAAAGTCATGAAGAAGAAAAATGTCAAGCTAGAAGAAGACCAGGTCAGTTCCCATATTTCGAAATGCTGTGTTTGATGTTGTCATGAAGATAGCAATGAGGATTGTTCAGCAAGAACAAAAACACTTTCAGCTTAAGGGAATAGAACAAATATAACTGGTCCTGGGTCTCCATCCCACAGTTCTGAATTTTCCAGAAGAGAGGAGAAGTCAAAACCCAGTTGGCTAGGTTCCTCAGGAACCAAAACCTCTGATTTCTGTCTTTTTCTCCTCCCGCGACCCCCCCCACCCCACCCCCCCAC